AAGGTCATAGAGAAGCGAACATACACCGTTCCTCCGTGGAAGCTGCATAAAAAGCTTGCAAATTTGGCGAGGCTCCTTGGGTTTCTTGGTCTTGCGAGTTGAGGGCGGTACAGCCTCGTACTCTGAAGTAACCGCTTCATGGCATCCATCAAAGACAAGAAGGAGACGAGCGCGCAGGTCCTTGATTGCTGCAGCATCCAGCGTCCTCTGTTCGCGTTCAGCTGCCTCCTGTTCTCGGGCTTCTCGTGCATGATCAGGAAACAGAAGTACGACTTCCTGGATGGCATCGACCACAATATTGCCGAAGCGGGAAGCCTGACTCCAGTAAGTTTGTTGTAGAAGAGTGTCGACAGAGGTAACCAGACGAGCGCGCTGGGCCAGCGTGTCCACGATGTCGTCCGGGAGGATGGCGTGTCCGGTCAAGAAGTGCTGATTTGGGTAGTGATCATCCATGATCTGCTTCCGGACCCCATTCAGCTTCTCGCGTACTGCAGCTTCGAGCTCGGGCGAGCTCTTCTCCCTACGGCCCGTTTTCAAGCTATGGCCTCCCACCAGCACAACCCTTTCCACTTTTAATTCATCTGGCGCACAGTTATCACAGCATGGCCCCTCCGGAACGGGGAATACCAACTGATCTGCAAAATGGTAGGTGTAAGCAACGATCCGCAGGAACGACAATGGGCTTACTCTTCTCCTTGTTCCCGAAGAACTTATTCCATGGGATCCGCCGACATCCATCAGTAACAATGTATTCGAGCAAGTATCGGCGGTCGCGCCTCTCCAATGGGGACATTCGGACATGCTTCTTGCCGTTCCGTTTACGGCGCTTCGGAACTGGTTCAGTATCTTCGTCGTCGGATGTGTCCTGGGCAGCAGCTGCAGCATCTCGGTCCCCCTGTGCACCTTCCTCGTCCTCATCAGAGTCAGACTCAGACTCGGAAGAATCCTCTTCTTCCTCTCGTCGCAATATGTCAAGCTCGACAACGGCCTGTTTGTACATGGCCTTCGTTATGTATAGCACGGCTAGACCTCGCTTGGTGTGGTCGCGTACGCAGCGTCCGATTTTCTGGATAAGGGACAGAAAGGTACGTGGCTTCATCCACAGTATGACTCGTAGAATTGCTCGAAAATCCATCCCCTACAGGACAGTCAGTTCTTTGACTGTACAAGGGTGATTATCCGACTCACAAGCCCCAGAGCATCCGTAGCAGGCACCCCGCGCATGGTCCCGTCATTGAGGCCTTCTTGAATCAAGGTCTTTCGCGTGGGATGGATATCTTTCTGATAGAACTCGAATATCTCGCAGTCAATACCTTCCGGTGTGTTGTCCCTGAGGAAGTCTTGAATCTTCTCTGCCTCCTGACGCCCGTTCACATATATCAAGGTCTGCACAAAGTCTTCTGGCTCCTGGAACTCCTCTGGGAATAAGGTGATGAGGTCAGCGAACGAGTCCGGTTTGTGCTGAAGTATGCGGACTGCTAACGACACATTAGGCTTCTCGTTCGACACTTGGACGCGTGCAATGTCCGATGGCAGATCCAAGTATCCCATAATGTCCTTGATGACATCGCGAGGTGCGGTTGCCGTCGCAGCTAGGAGCGGGGTTCCTGTGGGTAGGCGGGCGGCAAGCTCGACAAGTTTACGATATTCGGGCCTGAAATCGTCTTCCCCCCACTCGCAGATGCAATGGGCTTCGTCGATGACCAGGGTAATTATGTTCTCCGCGAATAAAATATTATTCAGAACCTTCTCGTGGAATTTGGTGCTGAGTGCGGTTTCTGGCCCCACAAGACCGACTCGGAACTTGTTATTGCCTAGGTCCTGAACAGCAAAGGCTCAGAGAGATCCCATGAACCTGATTTTTTTCTTCTCTGCTCACCGTTAACATCTGGTCCATGTTCTGGCTCTTCGACGTGATTGCGACTGCCGGTATGTGTTTCTCATTCAATGTCTTTGCTTGAGCCTCCAGCAGGGCCACGAGTGGTCCGATGACAAGGACAATCTTCTGGCACTCCTTGGCAGTATTCCCGGGCTGCCAATGGTAGAACAAGGCATACCAGAATGCGATGGTTTTGCCGCCTCCGGTCGGGACATCCAAAAAGGTGCTGATCCCTCTGAGAATGTTCTTCCCTGTTTCCTCCTGGTGTGGATGCAAGGAGGGGATGCCGAAGACATTGCACAGGGTTTCTGCGGCGAGTTTGAGTCGCTGGGGGTCCAGCATCTTGACGGGAGTAAAGGGCATGCTTTAGCCCCTATCACACAAGATCGGTCTCCCGACCGACGAGCTCCTCAGACTTTGAAAATCGGAAAACATGGGAGATCTTAGAATTTCGATATCTACAAAACTGTCTCTTACGATTTTTGGAATGAGCAAGTCGGTCATCGACGTTGGTCGAAATTTCTCTAAGTTTTTTAAAATCTTCGGCAACTTCCGACTCCCTTAAAACGCGTGATTATATTCCAGTCGCTATTTAGCCGCGCCGTTGATCGATTGTCATCAACTCCACGGTTTTCCCAATAGCGACTGGTTCCAGTCTAGCTTCGGCACAAGATAGATGGCTTGCTATAATATTTTCCTGATTCAGCGCGGAATATACGCGAGAAACACGTCCCAACTCACCAAATTCCCTTGAAATTAATATATTTTTCCAATTTAAAGTTCGGTTGGGGTTCGGCGTTCGAATGCCACCCAAGCGGCGCGAACGCTGAACCTGACGTTCGGTTCAAGTTCAGAGAAAGCCCGAACCTTGAACCTGAACCTGAACGCCGCGTTCAGTTCGGTTCGGTTCAGGTTCGAACCGATTTTCGAACCGGACCCGCCCAGCACTATCCTGGAAGCAGAAGACTCCTTGCTGAGTGTACCATTAATATTTTCTTTGCCCCAGTATGACTCGGAACAAACTGCCTCTTGCGTGAATTGACTGTGGTGGACAAGTGGTGGATGATGCAAACTGATGAAGGGTCCGTGCGTTTGTTTGGTACGGCATCTATCATCACGTGCATGTTGGCCGCCAAGCGACGTGCGGCTTTCTTTTCTCCCACTTTCACCTTCCGCCTTGCCTTCAACCCCATATTGCTCTACTATAGAAATCCTTCTCCTTGCTTGTCTCCTTCCCCAAAGCCACATTGATTCTCACACCTCACTTCAAGTAAACCCCGTGCTCGTATCCAAATCCCAGCGAGGGAGACATCTATCTCCTCTCAACGATCCTACTTGTACATATGTGGCATCGCCTGGTCTCCCTCTTATTCTGCCTCATCAACCAATCCTCTCATCCGAGCTTCAACTCCTCTCTGCCCCGGCCGTCCAGCCGTGTCAACCCCTCAAGCCTGGTCTTCAAATCACGTTGTTTTTGCGGAGATATCTTTGTACTTCTTCGCGCTCCCCGTGTTCATCCTCAAGCCCCAATTCTGGACCGTTCAAGGCCTCAAAGCAAGTCATACTGTTTCCGCCTTGGCGGTCGCGCAAGCACTGCCCCTGCTGACAATGACAATTATCGTGGCATGCCAGATGCCATGGGCCCGTTGGCCCCATCTCCTCGCGGGGCTACAAAGCACAGCCGTGGAGCCATGCTGGGCAATGATGAAGACATCCCTGTGGATGCCAAGATGTTCTTGGCCAACTGGTAACGGTCGTCGAAGATGCCCTCAAGCCGTCGAAGATTATGAACAGTGTTAACTTCTCTGGTGCAACCACCTTCTAGGGGTTTTACCCATCTCCTTGAGAAAGACCAGGCCACGCACGGCGTCAAAGACTACAAGCTCGACAACGAGAATTTCGACGAGTTCCAAGAGTCCGTCGGCAATATTATTGATGCGGGAGCAATTGACGCGGCAACCTCCGCCGAGGCCGAATAGATATTGTGCGCTCGTAAAGATACATTGTGAATTCAATCATTGTTCATTCATACATTGGTCGAGCAAGGAAAAATAAAGTGGTATGGGCCGCTGGTAAGCAAGAAATATGACCTGTGTCCGCTCAGCTCTGAGCCATGTTAGAACTCCAGCTGGCAGTCAGCTCAACCTGGTTCCATGCTGGACCTATTGGCTCCTGAACCTGGCACCCACCCGAAAAACAGCTGGTGGCCATCATCTCGCGACATCCCGCACACATGTTGCGCCCAGGTGGGGACTACATGGCCGACCGTTGGCGGTGTAGCACAGGGTGTGCCTCTGGATTTAATAGCGAGGTATTCAGAACCCTTATCTCCTGATGAAGCCCGTTCGACTCGGGCCCCTGCCAATGAACGATTGACTTTGATACTCTTTTTCTTACCCCGACATAGTGGTGCATAAAATGAGGCACAGAAGGGAGGGAGGAAGGCGGGGTAGCACACGGTGTGCTCCTGGTTCAAATACTGAAGTTCACAAGCCAGACGTATCCTAGGAGGAGCCCGTTCGACTCGGGCCCCCGCCAATGGGATGGGTTGATTCTCTTTTTCGTCGCTTGCGCTTTCACTCTGATGTATCTCACTACGATTTTCCGGTCGCATCCTGCTAATTTGGGCCTCGTACATATATTTCACATATATCTCCTTCGATTTGCGGTATTTTTGTAGCCTGACTGTTTCGTTCTACAATCCTGCGAGTGGGAATGTTGTGCATAAAATGAGGCGCAGATGGGAGGGAAGGCGGGGTAGCACACGGTGTGCTCAGGGAAAATTAACTTGGATAATGCGTACATCACCTGAAGGAGCCTGTTCGACCCGGGCCCCCGCCGTAAAAAGGGCCAGTGCCCAAAATCTTTGTGGGCTGTTGACTTCAAGTCTTCAACGCATACCGACATCTCCATATATATCCTACTCTATACTCTTTATCTCCTTCAAGCTCTTTCACTTCCAGGTTGCGAAGCGGTTGCGACCACTGATCGACGACAAGCCCCTGACTTCGGCAAGCAACGTGGTGGCTGTTGACGGTTGAATCCTATTGTTTGTCCTGGCCTCGGAACCGTGTGAGTTTGAATTTCGTGCGTGAAATGGAGTGGATAATAGAGGGAGAGAGGCGGGGTAGTACATGGCGTGCTTCCGTGAACTGTAACTGTATCAAATATACACGTTCAACGTTTAACGGAAGGAGCCCGTTCGACTCGGGCCCCCGCCACTCAGAGTCGGATCTCTTACAATATGCGCTGAAATTCCGTGGATAAACTTAGGTGCACGCCAGCACAGGAAGGCGGGGTAACACACGGCGTGCTTCCGTGGGCTGTGGGATTTTCATGCTGCATGTGTATCGGAGGGAGCCCGTTCGACTCGGGCCCCCGCCATAAGGGTGTCTCATCATCCTTTTGCTTTGCGCGCAGGATTCCGTTGTGATTGAAGCTGATTCTTCGATCTACTCCCCCAGAATTTCCTCACCGCAAGCCTTCGCCAGTGCTCTACTCCCGGAATCGTTTGTTGCGAACGTAGTGTTCTGACCCCACTGGCTCTTCCTTCAGTTGAATCTTGCGCAAAACTCAAATGGGATTTCCAACCCCATCTCGGGGCAGCCGATGCACGTAGCGAGGCGCAAAAGAGAGAGTTGAAGGCGGGGTAGCACACGGTGTGCATCAGTGAAGCATGATGGCTTGATTGCGTCCTTCAACCTGAAGATGTCCGTTCGATTCGGGCCCCTGCCACTGTGCCGAGCGGAGTGCCTTTTTGTCGCGCGGAGACCCCCGAAGTTGATCGGAATTGTCTCATTCTCTTGAACCGCTCACAGAAATATTTTGCTGACCGGCCCCCATTTATTTCGGCACGAGGTCGGCTATAGCGGCGTAAACTCCGGGTTGAATTTCGTATGATACGTGGCGGAAGGGGGTAGCAAGGGGCGGGGTAGCACATGGAGTGCAGCGGGAAACTTCGACCGATGCTGATCGTGTTCGCCTGTAGGAGCCTGTTCGATTCGAACCCCCGCCTTAATATTAACGCGCGCGCGCCTTTTTTTTTCTCCCTGTTTGAACCGTCGGGCACTCGCGATGCTAATTTCGCTCCTCTGAGGGGTACTTGGTTCATAGGAATTTTTTTCTCCCGTGCTGCACTCGCACTCTAGGCATTTTTTTTTGTCCATCCGGTCAATGAGCGCGCGTGGTTGGATGAAAGTTCCCCGGAGAATTCACGGTACCGGCGCTGGTCGTGTTTGTTGGTTGAGATTCCAGTCCGGCCCGAAATATTGGTATTGTGGCCCCTTCCTTCTTCGCTGACTTTTGGGAACGGCGCCACAGCTTGGAATGGGTTGAATGAAACAGGGTGCATGATAGGAGGAAGGCGGGGTAGCACATGGTGTGCATCTGGGATCTATTGCGAATTGGACACCAACCGGAAGAGCCCGTTCGACTCGGGCCACCGCCCTAGTCGTGTATCGCGCTTTTTTCTCCGGTTGGACGCGGGTTTTTCTCCCGGGACACGCGCGCCGTTACGAGGCTGGGCTGTAAGACATAAGACTTGAACCCAACTCAGACTTCGCGCTCGGCAGCCTTGATGTCGTTCCCTACCGACGTGGGCACGGGAGCCTAACTTCTTTGGTTCCAAATCTGTATGGAAATCGGGTGAATGAGATGAGGTGCACGGTAGAGAAAGGAAGGCGGGGTAGCACATGGTGTGCACCGGGAGCAAATAGTACCCTTGAACTGGATAGCTTCCCGGAGGAGCCCGTTCGATTCGGGCCCCCGTCATGGCTCCGCTCACAAAATTCTTTTTGTTCACCCGTCGCTCATGTGCCCAACCCGCATTGCAGCCGCGGCGAGCTTCGAATCGCAAGACAAGCCGGGCAAAATTGTACTGAAAGTATTCTTTGGCACGGGGCCTTGGGTTCTCAATCTCGACTTGAAGGATGTGTGCTGGAACTGGGTGCATAAAATGCGGCGCAAAAGGGAGGGCGGGAGGCGGGGTAGCACACGGTGTGCACCAGAAGCAAATAAATCATAGTATTCCATAGCGTCCCGGAGGAGCCCGTTCGACTCGGGCCCCCGCCAATGAGCCAAATCCGTTGGATTTTTTTTGTTCTCGAAATAAAACCCTATGCTAGACTTGACCACTATTCTCCGCTAGCAGGCTTCCAACTATAGCCCCGTACATGTATTTCACATATGCGTCCTTTGATTTGCGGTGTTAATTTCGTAGCTTGACTTTGGAGTTCTAGACTCTTGCGAGTTGAAATGCAGTGCATAAAACGAGGTGCACGATGGGAAGAAAAAGGCGGGGTAGGACACGGTGTGCACCGGGAGCAAATCAAATGACTATCTATCACGGATACTCTTGGATGATCCCGTTCGACTCGGGCGCCCGCCCATTATGCAGGAAAGCAGTCTTTTTAGAACTCACGCAGTGGACCGCTATCATAGATGCTGGATCCCTGCGCCCTTCTCCCTGGCTTTATTTCACCTATCCAACCGGGAGTCAAAATGGGGTGCATAAAATGAAGTGCACAACAGAGGGAGAGAGGCGGGGTAGCACATGGTGTGCACTGGGAGCGCATTCCGGATCTAACGCTTTCTCTTCCCTCAGAGGAACCCGTTCGACTCTGGCCCCCGCTCTCGCCGCGTTTCGCATTTTTTTCTCCCGGCACTTCACGCGCGCCGTCACGCATCTGGGATCTACTACATATGTATTATAGTGAGACACAAATCTTAGCCAGGCTTCTGGACCGTGAATATCGTTTCCTCCGACGCGGCCCCGGGCCCTTTGGCTATACACTGTGTACATAACATAAATCTCGAAGATGTGTTGAAGTCGGGCGAATGAGATGGCGCGGAGGTGCACGACAGAGGGAGAAAGGCGGGGTAGCACACGGTGTGCACCGGGAGCATATAAGGCAACTCTGAAACAACGAATAGCTTCCCGGAGGAGCCCGTTCGATTTGGGCCCCCGCCAATTGTTCAGGATGGTGCTCTTTTTTTTTTCTGACGCTCGAAATGGGGCGCGATGGTACGTCTCACCCGGTCCGCGGACCGCATGAGATTATTCCGGCTGTGGCTCCGTACACTGGCCGGTTTTTTTGTAGCTTACGGTCAAATCCTATTGTTGTTCTCGACTCGGAGTCGTATGAATCAAAATTGGGTGCACAAAATAGAGTGCACAACAGAGGGAGAAAGGCGGGGTAGCACACGGCGTGCACCGGGAGCAAATAGGTGGGTACACTTATCGCATCCCGAAGGAGCCCGTTTGACTCGGGCCCCCGCCAATTATCAACTCGTCTCTTTTGTTTCTGACTCTCGAAATGGGACGCTATGTTAGACCTCAACACCGTTTTCCATCGCATCCTGCTAACTTGGGTCCCGTACACCGGCGGTCTTTCTTTGTAGCTCGACTGTTGAATCCTATTGTTGTTCTGGACTCGGAATCGTATGAGTTCCATGTGGTGCATAAACAAGGTGCACAACGGAGGGCGAGAGGCGGGGTAGCACACGGTGTGCATCGGGAGAAAATGCGATTTCTGAAACATAGCGTCCCGAAGGAGTCCGTTCGATTCGGGCCCCCGCCAATAAGGATTGACAAGCCTCACTCTTTTTCGTCGGTTGCGCAGTGTGATGTATGAGAACACGATTCTCTGCTAGCAGGCTTCCAGCTATGGCGCCGTACATGTATTTCACATATACCTCCTTCGATTTGCGGTGTTATTTTTGTAGCTTGACTGTTTCGTTCTACTAGTAGGATCTTGCGAGTGGGAATGTTGTGCATAAAACGAGGCGCAGAAGGGAGGGGGGAAGGCGGGGTAGCACACGGTGTGCCCCGGGTTCAAGTAGTGATACAGCTTTGCACGTATTCGCCCGAGGAGCCCGTTCGACTCGGGCCCCCGCCAATGATATACTTCGCCTCCTTTTTTCTGACTCTCGAAATCGGGGCGATGGGAGGGGGGGCATATATTATACTCGCGAGGTCCACAACATGAACGATGGTATATCCCTACACCTTTTGTCCGTCAGAGCATGTCAACTGTGGTCCCGTACACTATCGGGGTTTGTATATCCGGACAGAATCCTATTGTTGTTACGGACTCGGAGTCGTATGAATCAAAATGGGGTGCATACATGTATTTCACATATGTCTCTTTCGATTTGCGGTGTTATTTTTGTAGCTTGACTGTTGAATTCTGTTTTTCATTCTAGAATCTTGCGAGTGGAGATGCAGTGCATAACATAGAGTGCACAACAGCGGGAGAAAGGCGGGGTAGCACACGGCGTGCTTCCGTGAACTGTAAAACTCTAGTCTTCTACGTTTACCGGAAGGAGCCCGTTCGATTCCGCCCCCCGCCAATTATCGGGTTTTATTCTTTTTTTTTTCGTCACTCGCGCAATGGCACGTTATCATCGAAGCTTAATCTACACCGGTCTTCCTTCAGATTATGAAAACTGTGCCTCCTTAGACTTGCGGCGTTTTCTTTGAATTTTCTCTAGATTATCAGAGAATCCGAGTTTGGGTGCTGGAATCGTGTAAGTTACAGTTGAAGTGTGCTGTCCTAAGCGAGGGACCAACTGCCCAACAAAGGCGGGGTAGCACACGGTGTGCCCAGGGAAAATTAGTCAGTAGTTCTTACATCACCTGAAGGAGCCCGTTCGACTCGGGCCCCCGCCAATTCTCAAGTCTCGTTGTCTTTTTCGTCGTTCGATTGTCATCTGGAGACTAATCTACCTTCTCGTTCGATATGGGGCGTTATCATATACGACACTATTTCTCCTCAGATTGTTGCACTTGCGGCCCTGTACACTATCGGGATTTGTATAGCCGGACAGAATGCTATTGTTTGTTCTGGACTCGGAATCGGATGCGTTGAAATGTTGTCCATAAAACGAGGCGCAGAACAGAGGGAGAATGGCGGGGTAGCACACGGTGAGCAAATACATTTCATAGTACTCCATAGTGTCCCGGAGGCGCCCGTTCGACTCGGGCCCCCGCCAATAATTTGACAAGTTTCAACTCTTTTTCTTACCCCCGAAATTGTGGTGCATAAAACGAGGTGCAGGAGGGAGGAATAAGGCGGGGTAGCGCACGGTGTGCACCGGGAGCAAATAGTTTAGTCAAGAAGGGATAGCTTTCCGGAGAAGCCCGTTCGACTCGGGCCCCCGCCAATGAGCCAAATCCGTTGGCTTTTTGTTCTCGAGATAAAACCCTATGCTAGACCTCACC